TGTGAAACAATCCCAGCTGTTAGCTAATTGGTTTTTATGTCATTTTTGCTGTAGTAATGCCTATCCGAATTAAGTAGAGCATTATTTAGAAGCTGATAATTCCGATTCACATCTCTGATTACATATAATACTGAATTGTGTAGTATTTGTACATGGCACAGTCAGGAGTCCCTGTGCATGTCAGCCGGGAGCTGAGGAGACGAGGTTTTCGCCTTTCAGAATGAAGGACCAGGGCCTTTCGAGGTTTGTTCTAGTTCATGGTTTTTAACCTTTAGCACTGGCGTTTCTTGGACTGTTCAAGCTGTTACTGAGAGGAGCCCAGTGCATCCTGCAAACTGTTGGAGTTGATCATGTTAGCGTGTGGAGTTCACAGACTCAGTCTCCAGCAGTGACATCATGAAGCGCGAGAGCATAAAGGGACAGCAAAAGGAGAAATGGTAGGAAGAAACCAGGCTAGTCCGTGTGCAGTCACACGTGCACAGTCAACAAAGACCTGAGCAGAGATGAGGGCCTCTCTGTTCCCAGGAACCTGTTTGGTTATAAATCTTGGCCTGTGTTGTGGAAGGTCCTTTTCTGTAGTGGAGACCAACAGGTGTCTGATGGATGTCCTTTCCCCCCAGAGTTCTGGGGCTGCTCAGAGTCCTGGGTGCATGCCTCAGCACAGCTTCTTAAGGATGCTTGTAAAGGAATTTAGAATCAGTGTCTGTACATCTTGGAGCTCTAGACTTGATTCATCAAAACTTAGACCGGTTTCAGACTAGCATAATCATGTTAATATTTTACAAGGTGTTAACAGAAGCAGCGAAAGGTTATTTTTGCAGGCTGTTGACCGTTCATTCCCTCATGTCCTCGACTTGTTTGGTGTCTTAGGAACCGGGAATGATTTTTCAAAAGTGTATATTGTGGTTTTATGAGGTACTAAAATAATGACAGGATTTTTAAAGCTGAGAGGGATTGAAATGTTTTCTATCTCCTTTTTTCTTTTTTTTTTTTTTTTTTTGCCAATGCAGGGAAACTAGGGTCCTGAGAGGTAAAGCTACCTGTTTAGGAATATAGTCACATGCAGCTGGTCCCTTGGTCACTGGAATACAGACATTTACAGCTAGTCCCTTGGTCACTGGAATCTATGCTTATACAGTTGGTCTCCTGGTGTAAGCATTGGGAGTCAGGTCACACCAGCTGTGTGTGACCCTGATGGAATCACTTCCTCTTTCCAGCGTGTGAGGTTCTTCATCTGTAATGTTTAAGAACTTGAACGTGATGATTTATAAACTTACAGTACTATGTTATGTGAGGACCTAGCCAACTCAGTTTTTGGAGCATTTTAATGTTTGAATTATGTTTGATATATGAAGAGAACAGAACTTAGGGGAACTGTTTTAGAAAAGATCTTTTTATATTAACATCCTTTTCTAAACATTTTGGTCAGATTCTGGTCTGTGAATAGAAAGTTAACCCAGCAAAACTCCCGTTTAGATGAAATAAAAAGTGAAATCATGAGTTATTTTTTAGTTGCAGGATTTGAGAAAAGAGAGATTCTTCCTTAGCCACACTTCCTTTTTCTTCCCCAAGTGCAGGGAAGCATTGCTGTGCTGTTGCCATGCCTTTCTTCATGGACCTCTCCCGTGAGGACGGACTGCAGGCTCTGGTTTCCCAAATGTATCACCTTCATTAGTAGGGAACCTACCTTGCTGGAACTTGTTTGAAATTTCCAGTTTGGCCACCCGATGGGGCCAAACCACACTTTTTCTTTCAATTACTTGTGCAAATGAACGTTCTGTACAGTCTATTTAAGATATCCCTTATAAATGATTGTGTCAGTAAGATGTTTGACATTTGCCAATGTTTCTTATAAATGAATGAGCCCTTAACTGATCTTCATTATCTTTGTAAAGTGTTTGAGGGTGAATATCCTGTAAGCTTATACTATCCCTGAAGGTTGATTTTGGATCAGCTTTTGGGCGAAGTCCCAGATCATAAGAACCCAGGAATCTGATGTGACCTGGGTTGACCACAGCAGATCAGGCCTGCCTTCCCTTGTGCTTTTAATCCAGAAAGCACTTGAGGGGCTGACGGGAGTGTTCTCCCTGTGGGCTGCATGTTTGAGTAGTCTCCAAATCCAGTTGGAACAATAGAAGATCATATTAAAACTTAATTTTTTACCATGTCTAAGAAAATGAGGAAATAAAGTTTTACCACTATTTACTGAATAGATCGGTGAGGTGCTCTGACTGAGGAGGTCATGCCGTTCTGGGGAATAGATCGCTACTCTGGCTTGTTCGCACTCAGCAGAGAGTGCTAGTCTGGTTATGCTTCTGTAGTGCAGAGGATTTATAAGTATTATCTAGTTTTAATTAAACTAGCCTTATAAAATTTGTATACCTTGAACAACACTTGTACACACACAGTCTGTAGTAACTAACAATACCCACAATGCACAGGGAAGATAAAGGAAATGGCAGAGCTGCCAGTTCTGCTTCAAGCACCACCTTTTGGTCAACAAATTACAGGTTAAAACAGTAACACTTTAATAGCCCGGGCAACAAGTTTGCCAAATTCATAGTTACCAGATAGCTCTTTGAAATATAGTTCTACATCCACCGTCAATCACAATGAATTTTATCCTTGGTATGAATCTTATCGTTATAAGATCTGTTTTTCAGATCTCTCTCTCTCTCTCTTTTTTTTTTAAATTTATATATTTTAATTGGAGAGGCAAATTAAGAAACAGAAGGAGAGACAGAAAGATCTTCCATCTGTTGATTCACTCCCCATGTGCTACAACAGTCGGAGCTAAAATGATCTGAAGCCAGGAGCCAGGAGATTTTTCTGGGTCTCCCATGTGAGTGCAGGGTTCTCGACTGCTTTCCCAGGCCACAAGCAGGGAGCTGGATGGGAAGTGGAGCTGCCGGGACATGAAGTGGCACCCATATGGGATCCTGGCATTTGGAGTGAAGGATTAGCCAGTTGTGCTATCGTGCTGGGCCCTCATATCTTTAAAAAGCTGGTGGGAGGGGGATGACAAGTTCACCAGCTTTGTGTGCTTTATTTTCCTGTTTTTAAAAAGATTTATTTATTTTTATTACAAAGTCAGATATACAGAGAGGGGGAAAGACAGAGAGGAAGATCTTCCGTCCAATGATTCACTCCCCAAGTGAGCACAACGGCCAGTGCTGTACTTATCCAGAGCCAGGAGCCAGGAACTTCCTCCAGGAGCCAGGAGCCAGGAACCTCCTCTAGGTCTCCCACACAGGTGCAGGGTCTCAAAGCATTGGGCCGTCCTCGACTGCCTTCTCAGGCCACAAGCAGGGAGCTGGATGGGAGGGAAGTGGAGCTGCTGGGATTAGAACCAGCGCCCATATGGGATCCTGGCTTGTTCAAGGCGAGGACTTTAGCCACTAGGCCACGCTGCCGGGCCCCGATTTTTCTGGTTTTGCATTTCAAATAGCATCATTCTCCTAAAAGTGGTGTAGAAGGGGAAAATTGCTGATTTAGAACTTGGAACATTGGTATAAATTGAGCATGTGGGAGTTTGGTGTGGAGGGTAAATTATCAGTTGGGACACCCACATCCCATAGCATAGTACCTAGGGTTCAATCCTTGCTCTGCCTCCATTCCAGCTTCCTGCTACTGTGTCCTAGGAGGCAGCCAGTGATGGCTTGGAGTGTTTAAAACAGGTCGGTATCAGAGAGAGACTTGACATCACATATTATGTGGTTTTTTTTCTTTTTTTTTTTTTTTTTAAGATTTGCTTTATTTTTCTGCCAGGCACAGTAACCTAGTGGCTTAAAGTCCTCACCTTGCACATACCAGGATCCAGTGTGGGCGCCATTCTAATCCCGGCAGGCCTACTTCCCATGCAGCTCCCTGCTTGTGGCCTGGGAAGGCAGTTGAGGACGGCCCAAAGCCTTGGCACCCTGTACCTGCGTGGGAGACCTGGAGGAGGCTACTGGTGTCTGGCTTTGGACCGGAGCAGCTCCACCCGTTGTGGCCACTTGGGGAATTAATCAATGGATGGAAGATCTTCCTCTCTGTCCTCCTCTCTGTATATCTGAATTTCCAATACAAGAAAGACAATTACAGAGAGGAGGAGAGACGGAATCAGCTGTTGGAATCGCTAAATGGCTGTGACTGCTGGAGCTGAGTCAGTCTGAAGCTGTGAGCCAGGAGCCAGAAACCTCTTCCAGGTCTCCCCCACGAGTGCAGGGGCCCAGAGTTGGGCTGTCCTCTGCTCTCGGCTAGGTCATAAGCAGGGAGCTCAATGGGAGATGGAGCAGCCAGGACACAAACCCACAAATTGGGATGATGAACCTATAGGTGGAGGCTGCTTGCTATACCACTCCCTGCACTCCCCGTTTTATGTAGGTTTATTATTATTATTATTATTTAATGTAGCTTCATAAGAACTCCCTTGAAAAAATAAGAGTGAAAGAAGCAACTGCAGTAGGGTATTACGAGAATAGATTTAACCTCGTGTTTTCCCTGAAGGATTTTGGTCCCTCTGTACCTTACTTTGAGTTGCTTTCTTTGGACTTCTTTCAGGATATTTGAAGGTAGCCTGTCAAAAGACTTTCTAGTCCTGTCAAAGCCCAGAGCAAGATAAAGGAGTCCCTAGTTCTGTTCCAGGCTGATAGGACTGTGCAGACAAGTCGGCTTCCTTGGATTTCATGGGATTCTTAATTCCACAGTCCTTCATTTGAATTCAGTTACCAGAAATATGGTTAGCTTGCTTTTGGTAAAAGAATTAACATTCGTTGAACAGACAGGAACTAGGTGTCAGCTGCTCTCCGTGTGTTACCTCATTTAATCTTAACAACGATTTTGGAAGGAAAAAGCGTTTGTGGAAAATGTACCCTGTCGTTTAGTTCATTTCCTGTAAACTTTTACGTTGGTTAATATATTTTCATTTTATTTGAAAGGCAGACACACACGTGCATGCATGCGGGCGTGCACACACACACACACACACACGCGCGCGCGCGCGCGCGCGCGCGCACACACACACACACACACACACAGAGGGATGTTTCCATCTGCTTGTTCAATCCCCAAATGCTTGCAGTAGCCAGGTGAGGTGAGCCTGGAGCCCATGGGTCTCCCTGTGAGTGGCAAGGGGGCACCCGAATACCTGAACTTGCTGGTCCCTAGTGCCTGCTCCTAGCTGGAGGAACCAGGAAGGCTGGAGCGGAAGCGGAGCAGCCAGGACTAGAAGTGGCAGGGTTCTTTGATAATGGGATGCAGGGGCCTCTCCATGAGCTTTTCGAACTACCCACATTATGATTTACTGCCAGCATGGTCCTAATGAAGACACTTGGAGAGATTGATCAGTTTGGTGAAGGATGTCCATCTAGAAATAGAGACAACATTTGAAACCAAATTTATCAGAATGTGGAACTCTTGCTTCTGCACAGGAATTGTAAATGACCACAGTGTTGGTAGTTCGTGCTTTGGCACCGTGGCAAGCACGTTAAAATATTTCTCTTTATTGTAGCAAGCTATTTAGGAAGGTTGCTAGCTCTGTTTAAAGATGGGGGAGATTGAATCTTGGAGCCCACAACTGGTTATGTTAAAACTGCTGACTATGGAAATTTGTAAAAACCCATGCTCTGAATTCTCACATCATACTCCTCTATGAAAGATGACTAAATATAGCCATTTAGACATGCATACATTTGGTCTGACCTGTCTTGAGCTCCATGGCTGCGTCCTACCACATGGTGTAGTAATTGCTGATCTATTTTTAGTTTTGGGTCTCTGTCTGCATAGTTTTGAGGTAGAGTAGTGTGCTCTCTGATAATTTCTTTTCCTTCAAGGTTATCAGTACAAATATAACTGGGCTGGCAGCTGGTGAGTAAAGAACCTTATGAAGATAGGCCATAGACCAAGGCAAGGAGATACGGTTAAAGAGCACCATGAGGGTTAATCAGATGATGCTCTGCCACAGTTGTGGCATTTGGCTTCTAGGTCATATGTCACGGAATGTTAAGCCTGCAAAGAGCTTCGCAGATTATTTAGCCCAATTTCCTTTTGTGACTTTATGTGGGAATGTGGTTGAAGAGGTTAAGTGATCAAGATCACGTGACTTGGGTAGTGATTGGTTTGATTGCCCTTTATTTTGTATCATGAGCTGTTATGTTAATAACGCCTACGAAAGACACACCGTGAAGCCAGGTTGCTCTGCCAGTGTGAACCAGCCTGCCGGCTCAGTGGCTTCAGCTAAACCACTCAGCAGAGTCTGTGTCTCAGGCTCCTCAGGTGCAAGTGGGGCTGATAGTAGGACGGTATTGGAAGGAGAACTGTAAGGATTAAATGAGTGACCTGACCCCTTGAAGTACCGTAAGTACTGTGTCATTGGCTGAAATGATGTAACAAGGGAACAGTTGGTTAACTCTATCTTTGTGGGGACACTGAAAAACTCCCCCCTTGGGGTGTGCTTGGTTCTGCTCTCCATCCTCGTTGGTCTTTGTCACCTGTGGCATTTGTTTTAGGAAGTTACTCTTAAGCTTGAGAGGCTAGGAAGAAAACCAGGTGTGAACAATGGTTAGACCACGATTGCTAGTCCTTCCTGGTTGCGTGTGTCTTGCGTTCATTTCAACTGCAGATGGTGTCTGTGTTTCCCTTCTTTTTTTAAATTGAGTTGAAATTTTCATGTGTTTTCTTTCTTGAGAATTATGTATTTATTTAAGAAAAAGGGGGAGAGCGCGGTGGGGGGGGGAGAGAGAAGAGGGAGGTGAGAATGAGAGAAGGGCATGTGCGTGAGTGAGGCCTGCTTCCATGCACTGATGCAGCCCCCAATGCCTGCAGTGCTTCTTGACTGGGAACTGGATCCGTCTCCCCGGAGCCAGCCCCTGTTGCCCTGAGCCCTCCCCGTTACTCCCCAGGATTCACATCAGCCGGCAGCCAGAGTCTAGAGCACAGCCAGTCAGCAAACTCTCTCAGATATGGGATGTGGGCTGCTTAATTGGAATTCTCAAATGTGTTTTCATTAGTGTGAGTGGCCAAAGTGATTTTTTAGTGAGTGTCTAATTTAGTTTTTCTCAGTTTTCTAGTGAAAATTTAATTTTCAATCCTGGAATGACTTTCAGAGTTAAGTCGTTTGTTCTACAGATGGACAAATGGAGAGCAGCGGCCGCGATATGAATGTGGTCAGTCTTACAGCTAGCTGATGGCGGAGTCCAGGGTAGGAGTGCTGCCCTGCTGTGCGTTGGGGTACCCTGCTGAAGCTTACTCGCTGGTGTGTAAGCATTCTCTGGCACAGAGGGTTAAGCTGCCACGTGTGAGCTGGCATCCCAAATCAGAGTGCTGTGTGCGTCTCGGCCTCTCTGCTTCTGATTCCCTTCCCTGCACTTGGGAAGGCAGCAGAAGATGGCCCAGGCACTTGGGCCTCTTTTATTTGGGAGACTTGGATGGAGTTCCTGGATTCTGGCTTTGACCTCTAAATCTTAAGACAAACAAACAAACATAAAAACATTGCTTTTAAATTTTATGATTTTTTGAAGTACTTACTTGAAAAACAAAGTGACAAGGAGAGCCAGGAAGAAGGCCCTTCCATCAACTACTTCATTCTGCAGATGGCTACAAGTCAGGTTTTGTTCAGACTGAAGCCAAGAGCCGGTTCTAATCCCGGCAGCCCTGCTTCCCTTCCAGCTCCCTGCCTGTGGCCTGGGAAAGCAGTCGAGGACGGCCCAAAGCTGTGGGAACCTGCACCCGCGTGGGAGACCCAGAAGAGGCTCCTGGCTTCGGATTGGCATAGTATCGGCCATTGCGCTCACTTGGGGAGTGCATCATCGGACGGAAGATCTTCCTCTCTGTCTCTCCTCTCTGTATATCCGCCTTTCCAATAAAAAATAATAAAAATAAATCTAAAAAAAAAAAAAACTGAAGCCAAGAGCCAGGAGCTTCATCTGGGTCTCCGCAGAGGGCCAGAAGCTGGATTGGAAGCTGAACATCTGGCTCATGCCAGCACGCTGTGGTGAAACGGTGGCTCTGCAGCTGGGCTCAGTCTGTGGCTTCTCAGCAGTCAGGCCCAAGAAATACTGTAAATGTAAATGTTGCTAATAATTGCTCAGATACGCTGCAGTAGTAATCGGAAGTCAGTCTGTTACATCACATGGATCACTTAATATGGTTCTCATGTATTCTAGGTAAAGACTGGTTTAGAATGGGGTTTTAGCCTAAGAGTTAAGATGCGTAGGTGTTACATTGGGGTACATGGGTTCAGTTTCCAGTCCTGGCTTCGAACTCTAACTTTCCACCAAAATGTACCCTGGGAGACCCTAACGCTGACCCAAGCTGCCATCCGTGTGCAAGACCTGGCTTGAGTTTCTGACAGTGAGATTTAGCTTTTAACTTTGTTATTCCAGTTTCTATACACATTTGTTTTCAGTATAGTTTTTGGGAACTTGCGAAATTTCCATACTGCAGTTATGCTGCGGGAAGAATAGATTTGAGAGAATTTGGGTAGTTAGAGTTGTCAAGGCTTTTGCTGCGAGGACTAATACAAATGTGGTAGTAGAATTTGAATGGAAGTTGCATTTAAGGTCAGCCTGTTGCCAGGGAACACCATTGGCTGCCCAGCAGCCTCATAGAATGTCTTTACCTTGATGGATAAACTGTGGTCCAGGTTCTGCCGAGAATTTTCAGTCAGGTCTTTTCACCTGATGTTGGATTGATGGGGCTTGGTCAGTAACACATAATTGATTGATATAAAGAAGTTCCGATGGGAGAGATGCCTGAACACCTAGGCATTAAATTAGAAATTTACAATGGGAAGTGTACCTAGTGTCTGCATTCTAAAATAAGGTTTTTTTGTTGTTGTTGCATAACTAAGCCCTGAGGGAGGATAAAACACCACTAGAAAATGACTAATTAAACATGTATTAGAAAGGGAGAGTCAGCAGGCAGTGTCTTCGGGTGCTTGGCTGGGCCGAGTCCGTGGGTGGAGGGGTCTTCTGTGAGTGCTGCCTCGTTGTCATTGTGAGACTTCCTTCCCTGTGCTCTTGGTGCCGACCATCTCCACCCCCTTTGATTACCACCACCACCATTTTTCCCCCCAAAGGATTTATTTATTTTTATGAAAAACAGAGTTGTAAAGAGAGTGGGGAGAAATAGAGAGGTCTCATTTCTGGTAACTTCTCAAATGACTGGAGCCGGGCTGGTCTGAAGCCAGCAGCCAGCAGCCAGTAGCCAGCAGCCAGCAGCCAGCAGCCAGCAGCCAGCAGCCAGCGTTGGCTTCTGGGTCTGCCGTGTAGGTACGGGACCTGAAGCACTTGGGCCGTCCTCTGCAGCTTTCTCAGACATTAGCAGAGGGATGAATGGAAAGTGGAGCGGCTGGAACTCCAAACCAGGAGCCATATGGGATGCTGCTGCCATAGGCCATGGCTTTACCTGCTACACTGCAGAACCATCTGCTGTTTACCTTTTAAAAGGTATTCTTGAAGCTAATGTAAATAGTAGCCATAGTGGTTAATGACTACTTAACTTTCCATGTGTCTTCTAGTCTACTGTATGTCAATTTTATTTTAGTTGGATTCCTGCAGGCTAGTTTGAATCCGGTTTTATTACTGACTAGATGTAAAGTTCCCCTGAACCTTCAGTTCTATCCATAAAGCGGTGGAATGATTTACTAAATAATGATGATGTTGAGGGAATATTTATACAAAACAACTGGCGTGTGAGTTGTTGGCGCGGACAGTAGATTATTATTATTACACAATATGTAATTATTATATGTCACATTATCATTAAATCAGGCCAGGTGTCTGGCTGGTGCAGGTTTGGTCACTGGCAATTCTTCCTAGTTGTGTTTGGAGGAGAGCAACATTGGTGGTTGGAATCTGGGTGGGAGCACTGGCTGACACAGCTGTCTGTGGGACACGCAGGGCTCGGTACCCGTGTTTGCCAGGATGTGCCACTAGTCAGATGTGGCTGTGAAGTACTGGAAATGTGGTTAATGAGGCTGAGGGATCAAATGGTTAGTTCTAGTCAATTGAATTTTAGTTAAAGTTCTAATTTTGTGACAACCTGTGGATCCTGTGAAACTTACTGTTACGCCAAGCAGTATAGATGGCCCCCACTGAGTTTCTTTTCGCTGCTGTATGCATGTATGTTGTATGTGTAAGCACGTGTGCATGATTGTTTTGGACCTCTCCTGGAATCTGTTGCAGCAGAGGCCAACATTCTGGGCCCGTCTGCTGTTCGCTGGCAGTGCTTGCTTAGCTTCCTGTGGTCAGGGTCTCTTCGGCGGGGTAGAGTTCATTGTTCACTATGTCAGCGTGACTCGGGCCTCTTGTAAAAATACAGATGTCCACTAAATATTGGCTTAAAGCAGAATCTATGGCATTTGAATCCTGCAGTCTGATTATTTGAAATTGTGTTCTGTAAACTGTTGAGATGGTTCTGATTCCTAGGACGATCATTTTTGGTCATGTAATTTATGGCAGTGAGATTGATAGTTTAACTCCTTCTTATGCCAGGTTTTATGTATGTGTTTTCGCAGGTAGCATCTTGGTATTTTGTTTGTTTTTCCTTTTTCGAGAATTCTATTTATGTTGCTCATCCACTGGATTTCTGAAAATTGCATTGTATTTCTCACAGTTTCTTAGTTGTCATTGCAGTGATGTTTTGGGAGGTTAAAAAAAAACATGGATTGTCGATCTCTTATAGTTTATTAGAGTATTTAATCCCCGTTTGATTAATTAGGTACCTCTTGATCCCTTTGTTAGTACTGCCGTTTGAATGACAACCTAAAAATATTTGAGAATTGTTGATATTTTCCAGAATTTATGTGACCCATGTTTTAGTTCAGCTTTCAATAGTGATTCATTGTGAATGAATATCAGATACCCCCAAACAGTCTGAGTTAGCAATATTTAGTAGAAATGAATGGCAATATTTAGTAGAAATGAGAAGTGGAAGTGTTTCTTAAAATTTTTAAAGGTTTATTTTATTTTTATTTGAAAGGCAGAATTACACAGAGAGAAGGAAAGAGAAAAAGACAAATCTTCTGTGGATCCTGTGAAACTTACTGTTACGCCAAGCTGGTTTATTCCCCAAATGGCAACAATGGCTGAAGCTAAACCAATCTGAAGCCAGGAGCCAGGAGCTCTTCTTCCAGGTCTACCCTGTGAGTGCTGGGGCCAAAGGGCATGAGCCGTCTTCTGCTTTCCTAGGACATAAGCAGTGAGCTGGATCAGACTGGGGTGTGAGGGGGGCGGGCGTGGTAGCCTGCTGGCTAAGGCTCTCACCTTGCATCTGCTGGGATCCCATATGGGCACCAATTCATGTCCCAGCTGCCCCAATTCCCATCCAGTTCCCTGCTTGTGGCTTGGGAAAGC